GCGTAAGAGTGTACGCTCGCTGCGCCATGGGTATGCCCGGGTCTGAGACAGCCCTCGAAGAGCTTACATGTCGCGTGTTGGGAGACTTGATCGAGGAGGGAGTGGTTGCCAAACTTGCCGACGACCTTTATTGTGGTGGGGATAGTTATGATGAACTGCTTTATAACTGGCGGCGGCTTCTACAGTGCATCTACAAATGTGGCCTGCGACTTTCTGCTGGTAAAACCAGTATCTGTCCAAAAACCACAACTATTCTGGGATGGACATTGTCTCTAGGGTCTATTCAGGCAAACCAACATCGTATATCTACATTACAATCTTGCACTCCACCACAGACTGTTAAGGGTTTTGTTCATTTATTGGCGCATACAAGGTGTTAGCGCGCGTTATTCCCCAATGTGCTTCCTTCCTCGCTCCCTTAGAGGAGGCAATCGCTGGCCTACAGTCCAAGGAAGCTATATGCTGGAGTGATGCTTTACATGAAGCCTTCAAAACTGCACAGAATGCACTTTTCTCTAATAAGCTTATTATGCTACCACGTCCTGACGACCAACTGTGGATTGTCACAGATGGTGCTGTTAAGAACTTTGGTATGGGGGCAACGTTGTATGTCACACGCCATGACAAGCTTCATCTAGCCGGTTTCTATAGTGCTAAACTCAGTACACGCCAAGTTGTATAAGAGACAGGTGGAGGCCCTTGCCATTGCTGCTGCTATCAAGCACTTTAGTCCATACATTACCCAGTCGCGACATACAGCATGCATCCTTACAGACAGTAAGCCATGTGTACAGGCTCTAGACAAGTTGTGTAGAGGAGAATTTTCTTCCAGTCCACGCGTCTCCACTTTTCTGTCTATCGCAAGTCGATACCATGTATCAGTTAGGCACCTTGCTGGATCAGCTAATGTCCCATCCGATTTTGTCAGTCGAAATGCGCCCCCCTGTACTGAACCCAACTGTCAAGTTTGTTCTTTTGTCCACCGCATGGAAGAGTCAAGTGTACTTCGCACATCAGTGCCAGAGTTCATTAATGGAGAGGCTAAATTACCATTCACGAGTCGATCAGCGTGGGTAGCTATCCAAGCCGAATGCCCAGACCTTGTTCAAGTAAAACTTCATCTTCTGCAGGGAACCCGCCCGTCTAAGAAAAATACCCATGCTAAGGACATAAAGCGCTACCTAAACACCGGTTGTTCTATTGGCAAGGATGGGCTACTGGTTGTTAAACGTACGGAGCCTCTGGCACCCTCGCGCGAATGCATTATTGTTCCCAGAGCTGTGGTCGATGGATTACTCACCGCACTTCATGTCCGCCTTGATCATCCGACTTGTCACCAACTTCGGTTATCTGTGCATCGCCATTTCTATGCCCTTGATATGGACAAGTCTATCGAGCTGGCGTCTAATACATGTCACCACTGCGCATCTCTTCGTAACGTACCACACACTAAAATACAACAGTCCACAGGAGACCCGCCAGCGATACTCGGACTTACTTTCGCTGCTGATGTTTTAAAACGAGAACGTCAACTTATTTTGGTTGTCAGAGAGACTTTCACCTCCTTCACCTCCACATGCTTGATTACGGACGAAACACACACCACATTACGCGATGTCCTGATTCGCCTGTGTATTTAAATGTGCCCCATGGATGGTCCCCCAGCGACTATTCGTACTGACCACGCCCCTGGCTTTGCTGCACTTGTCAATGATGAGCTGTTGCTCAAACACAGACTTGTAGTTGAGATGGGCAGAGTTAAGAATATCAACAAAAACCCAGTGGGAGAGAAAGGAGTGCGTGAGCTGGAGGATGAGTTACTTCACCAAGAGCCTAGTGGTGGACCTGTTTCACCTACAGTACTGTCTATTGCTACTGCCCGTCTCAACTCTCGTATCCGCACTCGAGGTTTATCGTCACGTGAAATGTGGACACAGCGGGATCAGTTCTCGTATGTCCAAATCCCTGTCTCAGATCAAAAGTTGATTATTGACCAGCACAACCTATGTGACAGCCGATGTGGCACCTGATACTTCCGTTAACATCGGGGATTTGGTTTACATTTGGGGAGATCGTAACAAGACCTCTGCACGAGATCGTTACCTTGTTGTATCTGTTGATGGAGCCTGGTGCACAGTTCGTAAGTTTTCTGGCTC